ATAGCCAGTAGGAACATAAGAACTTGGGAAAACAATTTGGTAGTGTTCTGTGCTTTTTTTGTGATAGTGTCTCACACCATGCAGCTCAGGCTAGCCTTGAATTCAATGATTCTCTTGCTGCAGCCTAAGTACTGGTCTTTCAGGCACACAATACCAAATCCAGCTTGCAGTACCTTAAATGGTTACTAATAAATAAAAATTTAAAAATAAAATAAGAAATGTTAAACACAGTTACCAATCAAGCTAACATTTTCATTTTTAAATGACTTATTTTTGTGTATATGAGTGTTATGCCTGCATGTATGTAAGTGCACCCATGCCATGCAGTGGTCCTGGAGGCCACAAAAGGGTGTGGGATCCTCTAGAGCTGGAGTTAGGGACAGTTGATAGCTGCCATGTGGGTGCTGGGATTTGAACCCAGGTCTTCTGCAAGAGCAGCCAGTGCTCTTAACTGCTGAGTCATCTCTCGAGTCCCCATTTTCATTTTTAGAAATGAGAAATGAAAATATTTGTCCACATAAAGATTTATATACAGAAATGTTCACAGGAATGCTATTGATAGTAGGCAAAAATCTGGACATGAACCAAAAATCCATCAGCCAGTCAACAGAAAACAAAATATATCTGTAGAATGGAACACTAATCAGCAATAAAAAATTGATTTCTGGTGCATGCTAAGACATGAACAAACCTCAGAAAGAGGCTAAATAAAAGAAGCAGATATGCCAGGCGTGGTGGCGCATGCCTTTAATCCCAGCACTCGGGAGGTAGAGGCAGGTGGATCTCTATGAGTTCAAGGCCAGCCTGGTCTACATAGTGAGTTCCAGGACAGCTGGGACTACAGAGAGACACTGTCTCAAAAAGACCAAAAGAAAAGAAGCAGACATGAAAGATTATATATCGCATTAATCCGTGTATATGAACTGTTGCAAATACGCAAGTCTACAGAGCTGGACACCGTTGGTGGTTTGTCGGCTGGTAGAAGAAATCAGTGGTAAAAATGCAAAAGAAAACTTCCATTATACAGGAAATGTTTTAATACTGGTCCATGGTGATGGCTAGAGAAACATGAAACTTCACTAGAAAACACTGAAAATCCACATGCATGGATTTTATGATATGCCCATTGTGCCTAAATAAATTGTTAAAAGGTGTTAGAATTATCTGAGAAGATAATAATTTTAAATAGATACCCATCATGCCTGGCCTCTCAACCATAAAGATGATTCTCTCCTTTAAATGTTTTAATGATTTAATTTTATTTTATGTGTATGAGTGTTTTGTCTGCATGTGTGCAAGTTTAGCAGTGTCATGCAATACCTGCAAAGGACAGAAGATGGCACTGGATCCCCTAGCACTGGAGTTATGAACAGTTATTAACCACCATGTGGGTGCTGGGAATGGAATCCAGATCCTCTGCAAGAGCAGTGAGTGCTCTTAATCATTGAGCCATCTCTCCACCCCCCTTTAAATATTTTAGTATAGTATCCTGTAATTCCCTTCCTTTGCAAATCCAAACCAAACTTTTCTGTTTATATCATATCTTCTTAACTCTGTCAACCATTTGTGTATATTATTTTGCCTTTCTCTCTCTGTAAGCTCTTGGGGGGTCTCTCTCTTTAACTTTATTTTTATATATGTATGTGTGTATATGTCTGTATGAGTGTATGCCATGTGTGTGGATATTCACAGAGGCCAGAAGAGGGTGTCACATCCCCTGGAGCTGGAGTTACAAATTGTGAGCTACCTAATATGGGTGCTCAGAACCAAACTCAGGTCCTTTGGAAGAGCAGCAAGTGCTCTTAACCTCTGAGCCATCTCTCCAGCCCCCTTAGGGTCTCTTTTGAAGAGTAGTCTTTAAATTTTTCAGCTTGAAAGTAATTGAGTGTTTATTATATGCCAGGCTCTGGTTCTCATAATACAGTTTTACTTTGGTCATTTCAGTGGATGGAATTTCCTTCCCTTAGTAAGTAGATCATGAATATATTACTCTAGTCAAAGTATAACAAATATTTGTTATCCTTTCCTATACTCATGGTAGACATCGCTATCAATCATAGCATTTACTTTTTCCTGGGGTCTTGGAAACCTTCTTAAGGCACTGTGCTAGGAACCCACTATAATTAAAATTAAACTTCTTGCTTCTTGTAGAGATACAGATTACATTAGCTTTATATTCAAATAACGATGCTTAAAAAATTTGAATCTTTTTCTCATACACTGCTTACAAAGTAGGTATTATATTTATTAATTCATGTTTAATTGATTTTTCTAAAATGTTTTTCCTTCTGATCTTTATGTATTAAATTTAATTAACTAATGGTATGGGGATATAACAGTGTGTGGCTAAGTTTCCTAGGCTGGCCTGGAACTCACATATATAGCCCAAGATGGTCTTAAACTTATGATTCTTCTGTCTTAGCTTCCCAAGTGCTGAGACACTGCCATGCCCAGCCTGTGCATTTAATTTTAAGTTGTTAAGACCAAAATTTTGTGATTTGTTTTCAGTTAATATCTTTCCAGTTCATAATTTCATTACCACAGAATCAGGAAAAGTTAATACACAGATCAGCTGTACCATAACTGATATACAGAGCTCTACACATGTCCCTATGATGTATTTTCACATATTCACAAAATTATGTGACCATCGGCAAACTCCCTATCAAAGTCATCATTTTATTTTTAACTCGTTTTTATAAATTATTCTGATGGGTTGCTTAGGCTTATTTGCAGGCATGCACTCTCTAACTCTGCTCTCATAAAAATGGTACAGGACAGAGTAAAACCATTGTTGGGGCAATTTCATTTGGAAAAAACATCTATATACCTACCTACCTACCTACCATCTCTCTATTGTAGGGAGAATCAAGTAAGCTCTCAACTGTAAAACCAACCACCCACACCTCAGGCAGCATGTTTTGCCTGTCCATTCAGCTAGCAACACCAAATGAAAAGGTTAAGTGCCAGCTGGCATAACCCATTTTTTATGCATCATGCAACTTTTTCTACTAGTCACAAATTATGAGTCCTGGAACTTGACTTAAGGTCTAAAACCTCTTGGCCTACAGTTTCAGCTTTCCCATTCATTCCCTCACCAACTCCCATCCCCACCTCTACTCCTACCCCACCCCACCTCCCCCACACACTTTTTAAAGATCAGGACAAGGTATGCTTTCTGGCACACAGTGTGCCACATATATGCATCACGTGTTTGTTTGTTGACTGAATGACTAAGCACCTTCCACAAAATCTTCATGACTGTTCTACCTAGCTGTTTTGGCAATAGCTGTCAATTGCTGGCTTCTGCCTATTCTTCAGTCCATAGCAAATGTCATTTCCTTTCAAGCCTCTTTTCATTCCCTCCATTAAGGTGTCCTGATCTCTGCTCCCACACTACATGGATAGGAGCTGCATAGGGGAAGTTTCCATATTCATTTCTGGATTCACCTCAATATTCCCAATTAGAAGTTTGATGCCCAGCACATAGAGGATGCATAAGCAGTATTTACAGAGTGAATAAAGGAAGTAAATTGGGAATGTAATTTGTCTCTGCCTGCAGTACAATTTCATGCAGTAGAATTAGGTGTTCTTGGACTACATATTCACCTTTTTTTTCTTTAACAGCTTCAATGAGATGTAATTTACATACCACAAAATTTCACCCATTTAGGTTTTTACTAGTATTTTGTCTCTCAATTTGTGTGTGAAGGTCATTTTTTTCCCCTAATAGTAGAATGGGAAGAAAATCAAAACAGCATGTTGCTGAATCTGGAATGGCGACTGGACTCTTGCACCCTGTGTGCCAGCCTCACTTTCCAATTGTGACATTAAGCATATTAACTTCTCTATGGCTGGGATTCTGATTTGTAAAATTTCACTAACACAATATCGTCGTTGGACCCTGTAAGGATGAAATCAGATGACACAGGCATGGGTTTCAACCACCAAGGAGACAATATTAAAACAAAACACTGTTGGCTCCTTCCTCTCCATCACCTGCCAACCTGGGCTCTTAAAGAGTATGTCTATTCTCATTATCTGTTCTGAGGATATTTTTAAGATACCCAATATGCTTGCTTCTTGGTATTTCTGCAAGCCCCACTTCATTCTGTGTTTAGCTGTCCTGACAAATGATACCGATTAGGTCCCTCCGTCTATTCATTTCTCAGCATACGCTTTTTCTCTCCATCTTTTGAATATGCCGGCAGGAAAAATATATCCCACCCGAGACCATTAGAGAACAGCTGTTTCTTTAGCATGTTTCCATTATTTGCTAGACATATTGTGAACGCAGAATTTTATTATTCAAAACCTGTTTTGAAAAACGGTTTTCCTATTGTTTAAAAAATGCTTTTCCTTTTTCAACCTCTTATGTCAAAAATCACCTGTCTTTCACTTAGATCTGCTTCCAAAATCTCCGGCCGTCTGTATTTTCTGTGTCTGGTATTACAGTCTGTACTGCTTCCCCAAGACAGACCGATTCTTCCCTGGGGGTCACATTACATCAGCTTTACTAATGCACCATCGGTTATATACCAGGTTTTTCTTCCATAGAATCCATTAAAGACGAACCTCGACCCAGGTTCAATGTAACATGGAGGACGGACTGTCTACGTTAAGTAGAAATTGCTCCGAGATTTGAGGGGGGTGGTAAATATTTATATTCATATTAAATATATATATATATATACCTGTTGATTTTGTGCTTTTTCTCAACGCTTCAGAGACCCCCGAACTTTGGAGTGATTGGGACGGTAGAGGATGGGTTTCCAGAAATTTCGCCCGAAATTAAAAGCTCCATCCAAAAGGACTGCTTCATACACTTAGGAACACCCACCAACAAAAAACCATCTCCACAACCTCCAGATTATCTCACCGGCGAGTGAGACTGCAAGGTTTGGGGTCTCGGCTGTACCACTGTGCGGTGCACGGGGGTGAATCGTGCCCAGTGCCTGCGATCAGTCGTCTTCCCAGCTTGGTTTTGCCCCTGCCTCCCCTGCGCTGGCATCCCTAATGCGTCGGGCCGGCGCTTTATAGCTGCAGCCTGGGCGGCTCCGCAGGCTGTTTTTCCGCTTCTTCACGTTGTAGCTTCTCCTACAGTACACGAAGATGCAGCTGAAGCCGATGGAGATTAACCCCGAGGTGAGCGCAGCTGCCTTGGGAGCTCAGGGACTGGCCAGAGAGCTGGATCCGTTTGCTGACTTTTTCTTTTTTCTGCATTTGCCTTTCAGATGCTGAACAAAGTGAGTGGCGTGTCTCCTGCCTCTGTCCCCTTCCCCCGGGAGCATCGTGGGCGGAGAAGCCCAGCGGCCCGCGCCCTGCGCAATCCAGAGGTGGCGGGGCTGGGGCGCACGGCTGGGTGTTCCCGTCCCTGCGTGGTTTAAGGGTGTGGAGTGATTCTGGGAGATGGATCTTGGGGAGGTGGAAGAGGATGCCCCAGGATGGGAGCGAGAGCCGCGGACCGCTCTCGAGGGCGTGGCGACCGCGGCGCGATAGTCCCCGGACTTCTCGTGAGCCACGTGTGGGCCGCGCTTTGTGCTGTGTCACTGCGCGGCGCGGAGGGTGGGGCGGCGCCGAGGCTCCGCCCAGACTGGGGTGGGAACGTAGAGTGGCGCGTGCTGGTCCCGCCCCTGGCAGGTGTCCGTTTTGCGCCGGCTGCCTTGTCTGTTCTCTGCAGGTGTTGGCTAGGCTGGGGGTCGCCGGCCAGTGGCGCTTCGCTGACGTGCTGGGGCTGGAGGAGGAGACTCTGGGCTCGGTGCCATCACCTGCCTGCGCGCTGCTGCTGCTCTTTCCCCTCACTGCCCAGGTAGGGTGAGGTCCGAGATGGGCGTGTCTCAGATGATGCACCCTGTGGCGCAATGAGCTCCACCTAATGCTGGTCCTCTTTCCTGCAGGGTAGGAGAAAAGGGTCCTACCTCCTAGGTACAATGGAAGGTCCCATTTTCCCAGGTATCTGTTTATCTCCACGCCTATTGTCATGACACTTATGGCCTCTGTGCCTTCAGTTTGGAAAAGAAGCCCACTGATTGGAATTCTGTTGTCGCAGTTACCCAGAGAATGTACTCGCACATTACCTTCAGTTTAGGTTTTTCTTAGTCTTCCTTAAGGGCTGTGACCTGTCAGCCCATGTTTGGGTCTCAGACCCCTACCTAGCTGTAAAATGAAGGGAGCCTGACTTTCCTAAATTAAAATGTTCTGTGGTTTCCTTACTCCACCTGCATTTTTGGTGGACTAGGGATTGATTGTTTGCCTCCCTTCTCACAACTGTGCTCTTGAAGGTGCTTTTGGAAGCTGAATCATTGGTACACAGGATCTTCTTTGCAGCTCTCTCTACCTCTTGACCTTGTGGCTGGATGACCTAGGTCTTCATTGGCAGTCTTGAAAACATCTTCTGTTTTCTTCAATGGTCTTCTTCCTTCAACTGCATAGGGATATATAGACCTCAGAGACTGAGCATCAGATATAAAACATACCAACTGGGATCCTGTTGTTTTGCAGTATATGGAGCCCCAGTAATTAGCATGGCATTGCTATTGCTGTTAGTTGGCTGCTGACTTGGGAAGGGTTGAAATTGGCAAAATTTGGAATTAATTTAGGAAAATAATCTACATAGGGTGAGGTTAATTATCAGTCTAAGCAGATGTTCTAGAAGTATCCTTTGCCTGAACTAAGCTGTATGGGAAGTTCCAGACTTTTCTCCTAGTAAATAGTCTATCATGGCTTAAAACGTGTAGTACAGCTCTTTGGATAAATCCCAGTGACATGTTTTTATTGCCAAAGTCTTTCCGGGTGAAATTACAAGAAGTCATTGTATGTCAGATTGGTTTCCTTGACCAAATAAACACAGTCTCCTCCTGCTTGAACAACTCCTGGAGCTGCTCTTTACAGGAACCATGATGACGTGGAGGTTTTGAGCAGAGCTCAGGGAAGGCCTCAGCAGGGCAGTGGTGCAGCCTGTTTGCTTTTGAATGGCTCACTGGTCTCATTTTGCAGGCTCAAATGGATATTTTTAGAGAACATTCCAATTTGGAAGGCTGTTGTTTTGTCTGTCAAATTTATTGAGCAACTATTCTGTATAGAATACCTACGGGGTCAAACACTGAAGTGATTTTTAATGTAAAGTGAAGCTTATAGGTTGAGAACATCTAATTCTGACTAAGGGCATGCTAGGAAACTCTAAACAAACCTCTTTTAAAACATTCATTTTAGTGATGGTGAAGTAGTTCTAGAAGTGTCTTCATGCAAGAGCTCAAACCACCCTAAAGGGTAGGGCCTAAGCCTGTTTACAGTTGTAGCTGATTAGCCTTAAAAGGTGGAAATCCTTAACAGTTAATAAGAAGTGAGACTATCCTAATTGGAGTTTAAGTTGATCCTGTGTGGCCTCTAATGCCACGTTAGAGTAAATTCACCTCATTTCCATGTGCACTAATGCAAGGTTACTAGAATTGGACCTGGGCTTACTCATGTGATGGATACATTCTGCTGGTCCTGGCAGATACGAATTTCTAGAGCAGTAGCACCTACTTTCAGTTGACCATCCCTAACTTCTTTTAAACTCACTAGTGAAAGGAATAGACAGTCTCCTGATCACAGTACAAGAAGCTGGCAGATGGCCTGAGGGACTCCCATTTATATAGCAGACTTTGTCTCCTCTGCTGTTTACTAATCTGTCCTCAGATTAAACTGTCTCTTGTATAGTCAGCAGGATAAACCAGTATCCTGTCTTCCTCATAGAAGGTGAAAAGTTTTTATAGAATTGCAGCCCACCTCTGTGCCAGTTGTCTGTCTTTTCTAAAACTGAAAACAAAACAACAAAAAAGAAGAGGAAGTTGTTTCTTTTACTTTCAATAGTTAAAGCTTGTTTGAAAAATATCTACGTGGAGAGAAATCAACCGGTTATTGAGAAGTAGACACCAGCTGGTGTTACTACTGGGCATGACATTGATCAAAGCTTAATTAGGACACCTATATGAAATAGTCATTGTCCTTGTTGAAGGGAGAAAGTCCCGAATGGAGATGTTCCCAGATTTTATGACTCCATCTCCAGCTAAAGGTTGCTGTGGTGTCTAGACAGCCTTGGGCAGCATCCAAGGCAGAGCCTGCACTGCAGCATCAGGGTGGAGCCCCATGGCCTGCCTGGGTATGGGACCACGACAGACACGCCAGTCTCTGGGCATTAGCTAGTGTCCCAAACCACGGCCCCTGCTCCTGGTCACACATCCCACTGTGTTTCTGTTGAGATGCTAGAACTTGCTGTGCTACCATCTGTTTAGTTCTTTGCATTTTCATTTTGAGATGTGGGAAAAATTTTTTTCTCTATTAACAGCATGAGAACTATAGGAAAAAACAAATTGAGGAGCTGAAGGGACAAGAAGTTAGTCCTAAAGTGTACTTCATGAAGCAGACCATCGGCAACTCCTGCGGTACCATTGGGCTGATTCACGCCGTGGCCAATAATCAAGACAAGCTGGATTTTGGTAGGTGTGGCTTAAGAACTGGATCACTTGCTAGTTTTTAAACATTATATCATTTCTTCCTGGTGGGGTGGGTGAGTGCCACAGCACATATGTGGAGGTCAGAGCACATCTCAGTTTTGTCCTTGCACTTGACATGAGTTCTGGGGCCTAAACTCAAGTCCTCAGGTTTGCAGAGCAAGTGCCTTTACCCACTGAGCCATCTTGCTGACTCTCAGCCCCCTGATACTTATTACCTGCTATTTAAACTTGAAACATGGAGTTAAAAGAGGAGTTCACTGTTAACAGTTTTATATATATATATATAAATTTCTGTTTGGAGGCAGCATCTCACTGTGTAGCACTGGGTGGCCTGGAACTTGATATATAGACCAAGCTAGCCTCAGATTCACAGATCTGCCTGCTTCTGTCTCCCAAGGTGTGTGCACCACTACACCTGGGGAGGGGTGTGTGTGTGTGTGTGTTTTAAAACGGGATCTCTGTGTAATTCTGGCTGGTCTAGCACTCACTATGTAGCCTAGGCTGGCCTTGAGCTCACAATGCTCCTCTTGCCTTGGCCTCCCTAGTGCTGAGATTTACAAGTATGTGCCTCCACATCATCTTTGAAGTTTTCAAAACATGTTAAGTGGCACCTACTACTTATCCAGATATAGTCCATGAATGAAATCTTTGTTTCCCTCTTTTGAGGGGAGGAAGCCAATTTTCTAAGTGTGGGTTGCGGCATCCCCCGCAGGGTGACTTGTCCTTCTGCTTGTGTCTTTCTGCTCACTCACAGCCTAGGCCGATGAGAAAGCAAAGGAACCCTTGAGAGCTGGTTGGTGTAGGGGTCTTACACATTTTTTCAATTGCCAGCAATTCTAAGGAATTAAAGGTGGTAATGTCAGAAAATATGGACTAATAGGGCCTGTCTCTAATTGTTCTGTGTCTCCTAATCAGTAGAAGGCAAGCACAGTTTTGAGAAGCTGACTGAGGTGTTGTGAAGGCTTGTGGCCTGTAGTAACAGGCTGAAACTTTGAAGGATGCAGCTGAGTGTGAAGTCAGGTCTGGGGTCAGCCTGCCTCCAATGAAGGCTGAACAGGAGAGAGTAGAAATGGTTCTGAGCCCTTAAGCTTGTCAGAGGCACAAGGAACAGCAAGAAAATATGTTAAAATCACATGGCAGTTATGTGTGATTAAGGCTGAGAGTCAGCAAACTTTCAAGACCAGAAAGTAAATCTTTGCAGCTTTGAGAGCCATGCAGTCTCTTACTTTGAACCTGAAAAGTTGCCATAGCCTAGTAGGAAGTGAAGAGATGTGACTGGTTCCAAAAAAACTGTGTTTGTACAAATAGATAATAATTGCCACTGTGTGACTGAGAATGGCTACAAACTGAATAACCCCAGCACTGTTGCTTCTATAGGTCAGATGTTGAGCTGGGGCAGTGCTATGCACCTGTAGGTCAGCTACCCCAGAGGCTGAGGCGTGAGGATCATTTGAGCCTAGGTGTCCCAGGCCAGCCTGGGCAACATTGTGAGACTGTCTTTAAAAAAAAAGTTTTTTGGGTTAGTGGGTGTAGCTCAGTGGTAGAGTATTTTCCAAGTATTGCAAGGCCCTGGGTTCAATGCACAGTGCCAGTACATATATATACATATATGTATTTAAATATATTTGTTGTAAAATGTATTTTCACTTAGATATTACTCATGGTATGCATTAAAGTGCTTATCTGGCCATAACTTTCCAGGTCTAGATATCACTTCTTCAAATACTGATGTGATGAAGCTGTGTTAGAAAGCTGTAACTTGGGTTCTTTTTATTTCTTCTGTAAAGTCTCACTTTATCAAGAGTCCGCTTTTCTGAGATAAGGGCAGTTACATTTTGTAACTGTGGTAAATCTGGGGTCCAAGAGTTAATTTGACTCAGCCAGTCTCAAGGAGTTCAGAGGATTTCTATCACTTCCATATTT